GCCCAACCATACACACTCGAAAATCATACAGTTGCATGCAGCAAATTGTTTTCATTCCAGTGTGACCATTAGAACACCGGAATGAAATTGAAATAATTCCCATTGTTTTCGTAAAAACAATAGTAAGAGAGCAGCTGCTGATGATAACTCACAACACGATATGTCGATTCACATCAGGTCGACAACGAATGCATTCACAATACGTAAGCAAATGAGAATTTCATATAATTTCACCAACCAAAAAACTTTCAAAAAATAATTAACATGTGAAACTTATTGATGCAATCAATTACTGACGAATACTCCAAATAAATTACAAAATAAAAATCTACTCAAACAATACAAAATACCTTAGATGATTTATATCTACAGAACCTTCTCAAAAAAAATTTCATTATAAAACACAAGTATCAAGGCGCTCTTCCACGGGAAAAGAATACAAAATAAATAAGATATCATCATATGATACTTCTCATTACTCACTTTACAATGATCATACCATAAAGATAACAATATAATTATGATAACAATGATAACTTCACAATGTTACAGAATCTGAAAAATCACAAAATTTTCGCTCAAATTTTATTTCTCAATCGAACACGTACGTATCAATTACCCACTAACTGTTTCACATCCCATATCATAATAACACGATCTAAACCAACCGTTACCAAACGCCCTAATGTCTCCTGTAAATGCATACACACGACCCCTTGACGCAACTCGCTGATCACGGCCAGTGGTGTTAGACTGCAAATGGAATACAAAAATTAAACTTAACGAATAGCAGCAGGTAATCAGATAATAGATACAAGCCGGATCATAGCCTGGCTCAGGCTTACAACATTAATGATATTGGTACACCACTCAGTTTCGAGCAAAATTTTCCTCCACGAACGGGAATGATTTTCGAGTGTGTATGTTCGCGGAGGAAAGTTTTGCTCAAATCCGAGTGGTGTACCAATAAAATTAAACTGTAAACGAAAATAAAACTATCAATTTGCAACGATGAACTGTTAATTGGATGCCATTCATCTGAAAGCTCCACAAGGAAATCAATATGACCCGTTCCTCTCTCCATGTAATATGAATACAAGGCAAATGAAAGTGACTAACTCGAATCGTTCAGGATGTTGCTCCATATTCCAATGACACGTATTACAAATGCGTACGGAACGTTCATAACCCATCGGTGGATATTTCGTCGTATTACCGCAGCAATTAGCACATACTGCATTGCCACACGTACGACAATGATGTTGACGTAAACCAACAACCTGATTTCATTCAGGTACCATTATTGTTTTAAATATTATTATCATTATCACTTTTAAGATCTTTGCACCTTTTACATTAAACATTACCATCATCACTGTTATTATTGTTACTCGGACATCAATCGCTCTGAGCGATCGGTAGAATATTTATTTTATTAGAGTTATGATCACTTATTGGATTGATATTTGGCTACAATTAATTATGCATATCAAACTTAAAACCATCATCATATCATGTATAGATGAAACTGTTCAATACAAAAACGATTTCCAGAGACCTTATCTTAACAGAATACTATAAACTTGTAAGTACCTATATTGGCAAATACATTCACAGAATTTCCGTTCTTCGCTAACTTCATCAGATCATACTTCCTTTAATCGACAGATCAGATCGGAAAACGCGTTAATTTCAATTCACTTATTGAGCAAATGATCAAAAATTCAACGAATCTACAATGCAGTGAAATGAATACCTTTCTGTCCCACATTGCACGGATATTCCAGAAGAACGGTGCATCACACAACTGACAATTATCACTCGTCTTCCATTCGGGTGTTTCGATTCGTTTCGCCTTCATATCCCAACAAACCAATGTTCCATTCTCATCAGCAGAAAACAAACGATTCGCACCATCCGCATACGCCAAACACGACAGTTTCGCATCGTGAGCACTCAACATATTATCTTTACTATTATTTGGTTTGTCATTATTCATATTGTTTTTGGTTACTATTATTATTATTACTATTATTATTATTACTATTATTATTAATACTATTACTATTATTATTATCTCACTTCATATTACTAATAATCATCCAGTGATTATTATTAGTACAATTCAGTTTCATAGAATTTCCACACGGACGACAATGATATTCTAAAGAACGGTGCATTATTATCATTATTATATTACTTTTATGGTCATTTCTTCAATACAAATTTCTCTGAATATATACAGTTGTTACTGTGATGATAATAGAATAAAGCAGTGTACTTATAACGAAATTAACTCTTACTTCAACTCGAACGCCTGCCCCTTCTTTCCTCCGATATCCCACATTATCACCAAATGATCTGTGGACGCAGAAAATAGCATTTGCCGTGCACAATCCCATTCCAGTGATGTTATGGAACCTTAAAAGGTTTCTATTCATCTCAATTTTATCGAATCTATCATTCAGAGCTGCAGGCACTCGAAAATGAAGGAGATGGTGATCGAGCTGACTCGTTAATCCGTTCGATTAGAGTATCAGTTGATTTTATTTGGATGTGATCACGTATGAAATCAAACATAATGATAATATTACCAGTATGCGCTGAGAGCTTCGTTACGAATTGTGCTTCAGCGTCATTCAATCGTAACAAATTAATATTCCCACCGCCATCACCCAAAAACATGAATTTCGACGCTGCATCAAACTGAAGCGCCATACAACTCGACTCACACAAATAAGTTCCTGGAAAAGAGGCCGAAATTTGCTTCGAAAGACAACATTTTTTCTTCGTTTCCTTATATTTGCTCAAGGAGTAGAGATGAGTTTCGTTCTGTTTTTTGCTTATAATCACAAATCGATCAGAGATCGACCGATCAGATCCAAAAAAAAAATCACGGATCGGTATAGGGATGGGTTTCGTTGAGAAAACAGTTTTGCTTATGCACCCTAATAATAGGCATCCATACGGATTCATCTGTGTATTCGTCAGTGTTGTATTTTCTGGGATACTACT